TTTATGTATATATTAGAGTTAAATGTTAATTATTAGTAACTCAAACCCCTTTTTCTAAACCTCCCTACTTCTGCCATTTTTGTAGTTTTTTAACACTTTATTTTCATGTTTGTAGTTCTGAACCGAATCCTCCTCCAAAGCGCAGTTTGTTGTGGGCAATATTAGCCGTTAGAGTGTGCACGGATCCACACATCAGAAATCTATCGGAAATAGTAGACCATCCGGGAAACTTCTGGCGTACACTTTTCAACATACTATGCTTCGGCACACACTTATATTTTCTTATTTGATAGAAGATTACATTTCAAACTCAATTTGTCTATGTACTTAGATTGTAGAAATACATTTAATATAGATAATTTTGACTTGAACTCAAGACCCATCAATTCAAAAAGCAGATATTGCAAAAACTGCAATTTAATAGACATAAAGGCAATTTCAAGCAAACTGAAAAACAGTGTTCACAAAATGTATGTGTGAGATTATAGTATTATGTATAGTATGAGAATAGTATTATAGTATGAAATTATAGTATCTCACTGGATAAAATATGATATATCTGAAGAAAATTATGAAAAATATAATCATCAGTGTACATGAAATGTACCTTAAATTATAGAATGACTCTAATACATAGTGTGTGTGTGTGTGTGTCCTGCAGGGCATGTTTCTGTGGGTAACGGAGGTCAGACGGCCACAGTAGAGGAGAAGAAAGAAGACGTGATTGGTACGGTGGAGTGGAGCACAGCCACGGTAGAAAGCCCAGAGAAAAGAGACTCAACTGAGATCTCAGGTAAACCTTCAGAAAGTCACGTGGTCAGAGCTGCACAGCAGAATTGAATTGTTTGCTTTATTGACACTATTTTCCTGCATAACACTGTAAATCTGCTTTGACACAACCAGTATTTTATAAAGCGCTATATAAATAAAGGTGACATACTGACTGACATATGTTAATGAAGATGGCGTCCACAGAGCTCATAAATGCTGTACTGTGTGTGACCCCCAGATGAGACACTGAGTTTCTGGAGGGGTATCACTGAGGTGGGGCTGATGGGGGAGGTGGTGTCCAATATCCACTCAGAGCTGTTGAGTCTGCTGAGAGGAGTTCAGCTACGCACCGATCAGAGCTCTCTACAGGACGCAGGTCAGTACGTCATCTGTGCTAGTTTAGCTCCAACCCTAATCAAACACACCTGAACCAGCTCAGATCTTCAGGACAAAAATACTCTTAAGTGAAAAGATATCAACCTCTGCAGCTCTACTATTGGAGAAAGCGCAAGCGTCTCGTGTGCCTCGATAACCAATCACATCATAGCGATGACATTATTGAATCTGTCAGAGTGAGCTGTCAATCAACGTTGCAGATACAACAGAAATGATCATAGTACTGTACACTGAATCCTACCATATCCTAATCCTAAATCGTCATTGGGTTTTGCAGTAAACTCCAAAAATAATCCAATTGAAATAAATCCAAAATAAATGTTTAATGGCAGACATGTTGAAGATTAGCAGACAGACTGTCAGGTAATTAAATGATAACCTGTTTATTCACAAAAGCAGTTTATTTGGCAGTTAATTTATTTCAGGACCATTAAGACCTTTATATCAGGGTTGTCAAGCTTTTTGAGTTAATTGAATTAATTAATTTAACCAATTCAATACATTTTCAGACTTCATGAGATTCACCAGGTGCATTTGGTTTTTTGGAGCATCTTGTAGCCTGTTGTTCAAGTTGATCCATGAAAAACACATTTAGTATGTCATTTTGTTGTCAGTTTATTTCAGTCCATGTTGTTGTGTTGTTATTCAAGTGTAGTGCTGGAAGTAGAATGTGGCTGAATTACTGTTCGTGAGATGCGATCATGTGGTCTGTCTTGCAGAGATTGCGGTTCTGAGTAACCTGGCACAAGTCTTTGACCTGCTGGACTCCATCAAACAAATTCTGAATGTTCGGCGGCAAATGACGGACCCGGAGCAGACGCAGGTCCTCAGAGCACTGACGAGTGAGTCAAGAGACAGTAGGGACGTTTTCAGACCAGAACTTTTGGGCACGCTGAAACGTTTTCCAAACTCAGACAAAACACACTCACTCAAACACAAGTGTCATCTCACACAAGTTACATGTTTGTATGGTAATACACTTTTCTGAACCTATATTATATCACAAATTCCCATCATTCACATTCACAGGTTTTCTAAAAGTGTTTCTAAAACGAATGGCACAATTGAAATCATTTTGTGAAAGATTCTACTGTATACATTCTAATAGGATGAGCTGCATATACACATTTGGAATAGCAGAGGAACACTTTATTTTGAGAGCCCACTTTAGACATTCTACTCACTATAAGTAACTTTGCAACTACATGTCAGCTAGCAGTCAGTAGCGTATTAGTGGACTGTCTGCTTAAAATCTGCTAACACTTTATTTTGATGGTCCCTCAACAGACATTATGCTGACTTAAACTCATTGAAAAAATATGCCTTTGGTGACATTTCTGCAAAGTTATATTACGTTGCTTCATGCGTGATTTGCACCAGTTCAGTTTTATACAAAACAGGTCAAAGTGAATGTGGCGATGTTCTTTTAAGTTGTATGTATCGTGGCAGTCTGGTGAGTGGTGGTAAAAGATTAAGGCTCTATAGTGTACCACCTACGCTAAACCCTACTCTTAATCTAACAAGTGGTGTTGACAACAGCAAACATGGGTTGAAAACGTGTTTGCTAAAGCATCCATGCCATTTTAGCTTGATTCTACGAGTCTTTGAGTCTTTTATTGACTGTTGTGACTTGTGATTCACGAGACTGGTACCCGAGCGCTTCATATAACAAGTGCGATGCTGTTCCAGCTGAGCTACCGATCAAGTTTAGTGTGTTAGATCATGCTTCCACACCAGATATATTAAATCCATACGCCAGATCCTGTAGAAAATATCTGTTTTGTCTGGAAACAGAACAACTAGTCAGCAAAGTTGTCGAATATCCAAATCCTTGTCTGGTACCCAAAACTATTTTACTGTATTAACAGTCTTCTATCAGCCAAGAAGTTGACTGAGTAAAGCCAGAAAAGAGCAGAAGCAGGAGACGAAGTGATGAAGATAAAAAAAGTTTATTGAATAATCTTAGTTGCGTATGTTTCAATGCTCAGACTTCGTCTGACCAGCACAAAACCAAGTTTTATCACACCAGAAACAGTAGCAATGGAAAATTACTGCTTCACAACATCATCCTGTGACGTTAAAAACCTTGGAATGGAGACATTTTCTTATCTCTTACTCATGAACACAAATATGCCTTGAAACCACACAATCATAAGACTAAACAACAATGGAAAAATAATATAAAATAAAATAATATAATATAAATGACTAATGAATGAATGAATCAATGAAATGAAAATATTTTATTATAAATGATTATATGATTAAATGGAATAATAAAATGATTAAGATAGAATAAATTAATATACAAAAGAAAATAAAACAACACACTGAAACATCAACATTTACTCATTTACAAATCATGCACTATGGTAAAAGTGTTTTGATGTCAAACATTATGAAAATAAGTCCTTCATAATCAATAATTTGCCCCTTTGATCATAATTTGTGAGATAAGCAAACATTGTTGGTGTTTTACTGCCATTATTATTTATTTCAGCTGGAAACTGAAATGCATAGGTAGGTTTTTTGGAGTTTTGCAAAAATGTAGGTAGAGGCATGTTATTCCAATGAGCCTGGGCTGCTTCTCTGATGACGTTTGCACCGGCTCAAGGCCTGAACATTAATCCCTCCCCTCCAGAAACCTGTCACTCACATTATTTACATCACAGCAATTAGTGAATAATTCAATGATATGATACTTATTTTCTCATTCGAGAAGTCGTTTCACTCTGATATGTCACAGTTGGGATGAAAAGACAATCGCAATTTCTGTTTCATGTGAACATTAAGGGGGTTTAGACATAAGCATCAGGCTTATATGAACACTTGTTACTGTGGTAAAGTCACTGGGTAACACTTTATTTTAAGAACCAGTTCTCAATATTAATTATAATGCTTATTACTACCATATTGGCTGTTTATTAGTACTTATAAGGCACATGTTACTGCATGACCATATTCTAGATCACTTAATCCTATCCCATACCTAAACTTAACAACTATCTTACTAACTATTAAAAAGCAGCAAATTAGGAGCTTTTTGAAGCAAAAGTCAAAGCTATTAGTTAGTTAATAGTGAGAATTGGTCCATAAACTAAAGTGTGACCAGTCATAGATTGCTCTGAAAACAACACCATCTCTTGTGTTTATGTTTAGCATTGGAACAGCAGGTAGAGGAGCAGAAGCGGCAGCAGTCGTTCAACTGGTTGTCTCAATCACAGGCCCTCAGCAGTCTGGTTCTCCCCTCCACTCCTCCAGCCAAACGCGCTCCCAAACGCCCCCGCCTCCAGCGGCCCGCCTCCACCACCGTGTTCGGCACATCCATAGCCCAGCCTTTCACCCTCCAGCCCCAGCAGTTCACCGTACTTTCCCCGATCACCCTTTCCTCCATCGGCCAGTCGTTCACGGTGGCCGGCCTCAGTCAACCATCCAATACGGTCACCCTACACGCTCTCCCCGCCGGCTCGCAGCTCTTCACGAGAATCTCCGCAGGTTCGGATGGAAAAACCGAAGCCATCACCCTCCATCCCACATCTGGGCTCACGCTGCTGGGAGCCACAGCCGTGCAGGACCACGGACAGCTCGGGACGGTCATGAGCCCCATCGAGCTCATCCAGTTGACGCAGAAGGCGACTGCTGCTGGTGTAGCCCAGGACGGTCAGGTGGTTGCAGGTACGGTAGTGATGCAAGAGGGCGTCGTCAGTGTTGTGCAGGAGGACGAGAACCAGGACAACACCACCCTGATCGAAATAGACCCGGCCGCCGCCGACCACAGCGTGAGCGTCATGGAGCTGCAGCTCGAGGGCGACGAAGCGGGGGGCGGCGCGACCGTGGTGGAAGGAGACGAGGAGCTAGTGCAAGGCGAAACGGAGGAGACGGGGGAGATACAGCTGGATGCCAATGGTCAGGTCCACAATTTGCCCATTGTAGTGGTGGAGGAAGAGACACAGGACGCCGGCAAAGCCAAATGAGACACCGACACGCTCACACAAACCGCCCTTTAGAGACTGACGGACCAAATCAGACAGGGACCGGGATTGTGTCGCCCCAGCTGTCTTGTTTTTTTTTTCATTACTCACTTCCTGCACAGCCAAGCTCAGCTCTTCAAGCCTGACGTGTCACGTATTTGTATTTGTTCAGTATTCCTTTTTTTTTTTTTTATGTGCGAAAAGCAACAATTTGTGATGTTTTGTTGGAACACATTCAATATTTGCTTTCGCTTCTGAGTGTGGAAAGTTAGATCAGGCACTTACTTTTCAGTTTCTTTTTGTTTTGGTGCCAAAATGTCACGTTGTAGCCATGGCCAGATATCCAGTTTGTGAATCTTCGATCTGAAGGTGAAGACTAACAGTTAAAGTGAAATTTAAGACACTCCCATAATGAGAAATTACACTGTTTGTGGTCTCTATGTACTTTCTGACATCAGAGTATAAATGGCACTAATGTTGGTGATATTTTAACACAGTGGTTTTTAACTCTGGTCCTGGGGACTCGCAGCACTTCACTTCATGCAGCTCTGCTAATAATATTATAGTCTGAATTGTGTGTAAATAAGAGAGGCAAAAGCATAGTGCTTTGGGTCCCCAGGATCAGAGTTGGGAATCATGCCGTTAGCACACGTAATGAAAGATGCGTTGCGAATGTTTGTGAATGGATCCCGTGTGTCCTTCACTGAAAATAAAATGCATCTTCCTTTCCCCGTGAGTTATATTGTAAATGATGATAGATCGCGGGATTGTGCATTTCAAAGTCTGTTACAGTTTCAGAGTTATGTTTTGAAAAGTAATTGCAGAAATACACTGTTGTTAATTTTGCGAAACAAGTTAATTTATTGCATTTAAAGAAATTCTTCGTGCTACATTTATAATTCTGTAATGATGTACTCACCCTCATGTCATTCTAAACTCACAGACCTGCTGTGGACCACAAATGGAGATGTTTAGCAGAATGTTCAAACTTACGCAGTTCATGCAAAACATTATTTTGCTGCTTGTTTGAATGAATTAAAATGAGCTAATGCATCAAGTCTTACACATTTTTTTCCTAACGTAATTTGTAAGTTTATTTAATTGATTTGTGTCAAATGAAACGTACTAGTTCCCAGCATGCTTTGCATGGGATTAGATGAGGAGAGTAAGTGCTGAAATTAAGTGTTATTTTTTATGGTTTTTGTTGAGATGAGATGAGATGAGAAAGGGGGACTTATTAGTGTTTAATGTATTGATATATGTGTATCAAAAGTCAAGAGGATGATACATTCACACCAGCCAGTACTCTTTTCATGGGTCTGCACTACAGTTTAAAAGATTAAGGTCAGTAATTTTTTTTTTTTTAAATAAATTGATCAATAATGATAGTAAAAACTTTTATAATGTTATAAAAGATTTGTTAAAAAATTATGTTCTTTTGAACTTTCTATTTGTCAAACAATCCTGAAATATATCAGTTTCCACAAAAAATATTAAATCAGCAAAAACGCTTTTCGACATTCATAATAATAATAAATGTTTCTTGAGCAGCAAATCAGAATCAGAAAGAGCTTTATTGCCAAGTATATCTGCACAGACAAGGAATTTGTTCTGGTGACAGAAGCTTCAAAGAGATAAGAAATAAAGATATGTGAATAAAATACACGTGTGTGTGTCTGTGTGTGTATATATTATATATATATATATATATATACACATGAAGAGTTCAGATGCAAAAGCCTCTTAAGCACCGTCTGAAATTTTCTTCTAAAATTAGCATTTTTATCAGGCTCCTATGTTTAGGTTCAGTAATTTTACTTTAATGGCAATGTATAGGTAATTTTCTATGCCATTAAAGTGACATAACTGAACATCAATATACGATTCTGATAACAATTTTCATTTTAGATTACAATTTCAGATGGCACTTTAAGAGGCTTTTGCATCTGAACTCTATATATAGTTATGGTATATAGATGGAATACAATATAATTTACTAGGAATGGAATACAAGGTAGGGTAGTAGTAAGTAAACAAAAGTGTAATTGCACACCTTTTTATTGAACCGTACGGGAGAACATTTAACTGTTCATGAGGTAGATTGCCTGAGGGAAACTTTTCTTGTGCCTGGCTGTCCAGGTGTTCGGTGCTCTGTAGCGCCGGCCAGACGGTAAGAGCTCAAAAAGGAGATGGCTTGGATGTGAGGGATCCAGAGTGATTTTCTGAGCCCTTTTACTCACTCTAGATATATACAGTTCTTGAAGGGTGGGCAGATGAGCACCAATAATCCTTTCAGCAGTCAGAACCGTCCTCTGTAGTCTTCTGACATCTGATTTTGTAGCTGAGCCAAACCAGACAGTTATTGAAGTGCACAGAACAGACTCGACGGCTGAGTAGAACTGTTTCAGCAGCTCCTGTGGCAGGTTGAACTTCCTCAGCTGGCGAAGGAAATACAGCCTCTGCTGGGCCTTTTTTTAACAATGGAGTCAATGTGAATATCCCACTTCAGGTCCTGCGAGATGGTGGTGCACAGGAACCTGAATGACTCTACTGCTGCCACAGTGCTGTTCATGATGGTGATTGGGGGGAGTGCAGGGGGTTTCTCCTAAAGTCCACGATCATCTCCACTATTTTGAGCGTGTTCAGCTCCAGGTTGTTAAGACTGCACCAGACAGACATCTGCTCGACCTCGCTTCTATATGCAGACTCATCACCATCCTGGATGAAGCCGAAGACTGTAGTGTCGTCTGCAAACTTCAGGACCTTGACAGAGGGGTCAGCAGAGGTGCAGTCATTGGTGTAGAGAGAAGAGCAGTGGGGAGAGCACACATCCCTGAGGGGCACCAGTGCTGATGGTGCAGCTGTTTGACATCAGCTCTTTCCCCAGTCTCACTAGCTGTTGCCTATCTGTCAGAAAGTTGGTGATCCATTGACAGATAGAGCTAGGGACAGAGAGCTGGGTTAGTTTGGTCTGGAGGAGTGTTGGGATGATGGTTGTGTATATATTATATATATATATATATATATACACATGAAGAGTTCAGATGCAAAAGCCTCTTAAGCACCGTCTGAAATTTTCTTCTAAAATTAGCATTTTTATCAGGCTCCTATGTTTAGGTTCAGTAATTTTACTTTAATGGCAATGTATAGGTAATTTTCTATGCCATTAAAGTGACATAACTGAACATCAATATACGATTCTGATAACAATTTTCATTTTAGATTACAATTTCAGATGGCACTTTAAGAGGCTTTTGCATCTGAACTCTATATATAGTTATGGTATATAGATGGAATACAATATAATTTACTAGGAATGGAATACAAGGTAGGGTAGTAGTAAGTAAACAAAAGTGTAATTGCACACCTTTTTATTGAACCGTACGGGAGAACATTTAACTGTTCATGAGGTAGATTGCCTGAGGGAAACTTTTCTTGTGCCTGGCTGTCCAGGTGTTCGGTGCTCTGTAGCGCCGGCCAGACGGTAAGAGCTCAAAAAGGAGATGGCTTGGATGTGAGGGATCCAGAGTGATTTTCTGAGCCCTTTTACTCACTCTAGATATATACAGTTCTTGAAGGGTGGGCAGATGAGCACCAATAATCCTTTCAGCAGTCAGAACCGTCCTCTGTAGTCTTCTGACATCTGATTTTGTAGCTGAGCCAAACCAGACAGTTATTGAAGTGCACAGAACAGACTCGACGGCTGAGTAGAACTGTTTCAGCAGCTCCTGTGGCAGGTTGACATTCCTCACCTGGCAACTTCCTCAGCTGGCGAAGGAAATACAGCCTCTGCTGGGCCTTTTTTTAACAATGGAGTCAATGTGAATATCCCACTTCAGGTCCTGCGAGATGGTGGTGCACAGGAACCTGAATGACTCTACTGCTGCCACAGTGCTGTTCATGATGGTGATTGGGGGGAGTGCAGGGGGTTTCTCCTAAAGTCCACGATCATCTCCACTATTTTGAGCGTGTTCAGCTCCAGGTTGTTAAGACTGCACCAGACAGACATCTGCTCGACCTCGCTTCTATATGCAGACTCATCACCATCCTGGATGAAGCCGAAGACTGTAGTGTCGTCTGCAAACTTCAGGACCTTGACAGAGGGGTCAGCAGAGGTGCAGTCATTGGTGTAGAGAGAAGAGCAGTGGGGAGAGCACACATCCCTGAGGGGCACCAGTGCTGATGGTGCAGCTGTTTGACATCAGCTCTTTCCCCAGTCTCACTAGCTGTTGCCTATCTGTCAGAAAGTTGGTGATCCATTGACAGATAGAGCTAGGAGAGAGGCTTAATAACAGCCAATTTGAAGGTTTTAGGGACATATCCTACATATCCTAACAACAACAAAAAAAAAACATTTTTTTCAAAGGCACATTAAATCTTTCAAAATTGACATTAAAGACATTTATAATGTTACAAAAGATTTATATTTCAAATACGTGCTGTTCTTTTGAATGTATCATGGTTTCCACAAAGATATTGAGCAGAAAAAAAAAACGTTTTCAACATTTATAATAATAAGAACCATAATTAATATTTCTGAAGATCATGTGACACTGAAGACTGGAGTAATGATGCTGAGAATTCAGCTTTGATCACAGCAATAAATTACATTTTAAAATATATTCAAATAGAAAACTGTCCTTTTAAATTGTAATAATATTCCACAATATTGCTGTTTTTTACTGTATTTTGATCAAATAAATTATCCTTGATGAACATAAGAGACTTATTTCAAAGGAATATATATATATATATATATATATATATATATATATATCTCAAAGGTAAAAGACAAATCTCCAATACTTACATCATGAGTCTTCAGTCAAACAACTATATTGGTCACTAGGGGGCACTTGAGCTCCACTGGGCCCATTGAGAGAGAAGTTCAGTAAATATGTAGTAATCCTGTATGTAAGTGTGTATAGTCTTTCTGTGAGTGTGATTATGAAAATCTGCAGTATGTGTGGGTGTATCTGTTTTAATAAAGAGCAGAAATAAGTCGAGTAGACTGCTGTAATCGGCATGTCGCCGTCTCTGTCTCTGTGATACGGCAGCTGCTAAATTAGGGCTGTCAGCTCTCGTATCTCCGATGGGCGGCTGCTGTTTCTGCTGCTGACGCCCTGTTTGAGCCATCCGTCATTACAGCCGCAAGATCTAAACGCCCCGAGACAGCTGAAGCTGCTGTCTGAAGATGCTCAGGATTTTAAGACAGGAATGCCTGTCCTCTATGTGAAATGTTTCTTCTCGTTGCTCTTTCTTTGTGAGGCGATTAAGTAAAGTCAGGTCAGACTGATGGTATTTATGAGATCAGTGCACGTGAACGCAACCGAGAAGTTGTAATTACCGACAGGAAGCTCAGGACTTTCTTCAAGCCTGTGGCAGAACAACACTGATAAAAAAGCATTGATTACTCACCTAATGCATGTCATTGCTTTTCATGTTTGTAGTAGCGCTAAAAGGCTTCCTGTCTTTGTTGGGAAATGAAAAAGAGAGAAAGAAGCATGAAATTGGCCATCACATCCACTTTATTCAGACCAAATGCACATCATACAGTTACCATTTCTAAGCTCATAAGTAGAAACTTCCCAGGAGGACTACACGGCTGCACTACTTGCATGGCATGGTAATTGCTACACTTTTTTTTATGTATGGTCATGGCAACCAGACCAGCCACTATTGTAATTGATGAGTAAACAGGATGTTTTCTGAATATAGGATGTGCCCTTTAACCTCTTGTTTCTTGTTGACTGGGCATGATGGCATCATATGCCTCTGGCCAAAACAACACTGACACTTTAACGTTTTCTTCACAAAAGCCTTGAACTGAGGTGAATGGTTGTGTAATTTTTTACAGCAGGTATCTTTACATAATTATGCTGACTTTGTGAATACAACATTCTATAACATTCTCTAATGAGCCTCATTTACGCGGAAAGGAGGTGTATGCACCAAGAAGAGTGGCAGTGACTGAGTTTATACACCTATGGTGTTAAAG